CTCTCTCTCTCTCTCTCTCTCTCTCTCTCTCTCTCTCTCTCTCTCGTTCTTTCTGCTTGTTACTGTCTCTATCTTCCGTCCCCTCTCTTTCTCTCTCTCTCTCTCTCTCTCTCTCTCTCTCTCTCTCTCTCTCTCTCTCTCTCTCTCTCTCTCTCTCTCTCTCTCTCTCTCTCGTTCTTTCTGCTTGTTACTGTCTCTATCTTCCGTCCCCTCTCTTTCTCTCTCTCTCTCTCTCTCTCTCTCTCTCTCTCTCTCTCTCTCTCTCTCTCTCTCTCTTCTCTCTCTCTCTCTCTCTCTCTCTCTCTCTCTCTCTCTCCTCTCTCTTCTCTCTCTCTCTCTCTCTCTCTCTCTCTCTCTCTCTCTCTCTCTCTCTCTCTCTTCTCTCTCTCTCTCTCTCTCTCTCTCTCTCTCTCTCTCTCTCTCTCTCTCTCTCCCTCACCCACTCTCCCGTTTTCCTTCCCTATTTCCCACTCCTTCCCTCCCTACCCACTTCCATTTCTCTCCCTCTCCCCCTCTCCTTCCTTCTCTCTATCCTTCTCTTCCTCCCTCTTTCCTTCCTTCCCTTCCTCTCCCTCCTTGCCTCCCTCCCCCTCTCCCTCCTTCTTTCCTTCCTTCCCTCCCCCCTTCCTTTCGCTGCTTCCCACTCGTTCCCTCCCTACCCACTTCCCTTTCTCTGCCTCTCCCCTCTCCTTTCTTCTCTTCATCTCGCTCTTCCTCCTTCCCTCTCTCCCTCCTCTCCATCCCCCTTTTCCTCCCACTTTCCTACCTTCCCTCCCACTCCCTCTTCCTCCCACTTTCCTACCTTCCCTCCCTTTCCTCTTCCTTCCCTCTCCCTTCCCCTTCCCCTTCCACCCCTCCTCTCCATCACCCTTTTTGTCCCCTTTCCTACCTTCCCTCCCTCTCCCTCTTCCTTCCCTCTCCCATCCCTTTGTCCTTTCCCCCCTCCTCTCCATCACCCTTTTTGTTCCTCTTTCCTTCCCTCCTCCCTCCTTCGCTCTCTCATCCTCCTCTCGCCCTCCCTCAGCACGGACGGCGAGAGAATCCCCTTCCTCCCCACCGCCGAGGGTCTGTCCGAAGTGCCCATTTCGTCGAGCTCTGACGTCACTCTCATCATCCACGGCTTCAGCGAGTCTTCACACCGCCCTTGGATTCACAGGCTTACTAAAGGTGCCGGGAGAGAACCGCGGAATCTGGATGGTGGTTGTTTTATTTTTTTTGGGGGGGTGGGGGGAAGGGTTGTGTTAGGGTCGCGGATGTAGGTAGCGTAGAGTTATGCTTGATTTCTGTTGTTGTTGTTGTTATTGAAATTGCTGTTATTTCTTTGTTAATTTTTTGTTCTATTATTGTTTGTTTTTTTCTCTCTCTCCTTTCATGTCTTTGTTCCAGTTCTTGTTATCATCCATGTAAATATTGTTATTATAATCATCATTTTATAAAATTACCGTCATTGTTCTCCTCATCGTTATTATTACCACACTTTTATAATTATCGTTACCATTCTCGCCATCCTCTTCATCGCAATCGTCTTCGCCATCGCAGTAATTATTATTATCATCATAATCACAATCATTATCACATCTACTATCACCATCAGAACCACCACCACCATCGTCAATACCATTCATTACCACTAATATTTTTGCATAGTTACCATTATTTACTATAAAAAATACAAATAGATGAATAAAAGAAATAAAAAATAATAATCCGAGAACGCCCCTCTCCACCGCAGCCCTGATAGCGAGAGGCGAAGGGAACCACGTAGTCCTCGTGGTGGACTACTGGGACCTTCACAGCCTCAACTACCTCGTCATGAGACACAACGCGAGGATCGTGGCGGACCTCATCGCCGGCCTCATCGACGACCTCGTGCGGGAGAACGAGATGGAGTGAGTGAGGCAGAGGAGGGAGGAAGGGAGGGAGGGAGAGGCAGGGGTAGTAAAGGAGGGAGAGGGAGAGGCAGGGAGGAGAGAAAGGAGAGGTAGTAAAGGAGGGAGGGAGGGAGGGAAGGGGAGGAGGAGAGGGAAAGGGAAAGGGGAGAGGGAAGGGGAAAGGGAGGAAGGGAGGGAGGGAGAGGCAGGGAAGGGGAAAGAAAGGGAGGAAGTAAATGCGGGAGAGAGAAGGAAAGGGAGAGAGAGGAGAGGCAGATAGGGAGGAGAGAGAGAGAGAGAGAGAGAGAGAGAGAGAGAGAGAGAGAGAGAGAGAGAGAAAGAGAGAGAGACAGACAGACAGACAGACAGAAAAAACAAAAAGGCAATCAAACAACAAGAGAAACAATGATGGCAAAATAGAGAGGAACCCAAAGTCCAGTCTCTCGCACGCTTTTCTTCACCCACCCCTTTTCCCCCCACAGCCTAGCACGCACACACGTCGTGGGCTTCAGCATGGGCGGGCGTATCAGTGGCATGGTGGGCCAGCGCTTGAAAACAGGCACTTTAGGCAGAATCACAGGTAAGCTTTGATGTAATATAGCAGCTAAAACCTTGTTTATCTTTCTAGT